CCTATGATGCTGCTTGGCCTGCTGTGTTCATCCAGGAATGATAAGTCACTTCATTTGGGTCTTAAGAGTCCACCATTCGAGTTATGCATAGGCCAGACTGGGTAAGGACAACAGTCTTTTTTTATCTGAATGACAGTTTTGAACTAGTTTAGTTTTTACAATAATTCAGTAGTCTCATAATTACTTTTACGATTTGCCAGCATTTTAAAAACAATTTCTAGGTTTTTATACGAGGTTCCAATTCTCAACATGCTATGGTGGGACTTAAATTCACATTTTTAGGTTTAATGGTCACTAGCCTAGGAACACGGCCATTGCATTACTGTAGCCCAGTTGACTTCTCTCAGTTACAAATCTCTTAGACTTCATCTAATCACTTGGCTGTTTGATTTTTTTCCCCATTCTTTTCTCCTACCTGGCTCTTTTTATAGAATATTCATATTCTTTTCTGGTTCTCCTGTAGATCAATTGCCTAAATGATTAGCAGCTCAGTGGCTCTTTGGTTAGCACTGCTGCTTCGCAGTGCCAGGGACCCAGGTTTGATATCCGCCTTGGGCAACTGTCTGTGTGGAGTTGCCATGTTCGCCATGTGTCTGCATGCCCAGTCTAGCTTAGATTGGGTAAGGTATCTGAAAAGGCTTGAAATCAGGGGAAGGTACTAATATGGGCATTTGTTCTCCATGAACTGGAGGTGGCTCACAAACTAAAAAGACAGTCTTCCTACACAAATAACTAATCTATTATGTGAATTCCAGTCCTGTGAGTTAATTGTGAATCATTGTTAACTGGTGCATTCTTCATTGCAATGACTCTTCCAATCAGCATCTACTTGCCAGCCAATCAACAGTCTCCTCTCAAACAGTAATAATGTTGGTTTTCTGCTAATTTGGTATGTTTGCAAATTATCCTGATGAGTGCAATGTGTCTTTTTTCAACAATACTTTAATTACTGACTACAAGTATCTAGGTATCAAGGTGGATGATAAAAGGATAAAAAAAACATAATGCAACTATTGTACCTAGGGACATTCACAATTGTACTACATTAAAATATCATGAAAATATTCTATACAGCTATCCTTTTTGAGTGTCTCTTTCAGCACTATTTTCTTCGGAAAGTAGGCTCATCAAGGATAGTGAGATTGTTGAAGCAGGCAGCAAGAGTTTTTGATGAGCAGATCATTTTTGAAAAAAGCTGTTGAAGAATTTTGACAAAAGAGTGTTATGAACAACAAGAATGATTTATTGTCTCAGTATTAATGTTGAATGCATTCAGGTAAAAAAACTACAGCCCATGGATGCAGGGCACTTGTTTGTGCGCTTCTCTATAACAGTTCTTACTGGGAGTTTGATGAATGGATGAGGATTTGCACTAATAATTAGACTCGGTGATTATTTTATTACATCAGAATAATTTTTAATATAGTTTAATTAAAGTTAGACTTCTAGGATAAGGTAATTTTCTTTTTAAACTTTTATTATTCATTAATTCTTTTTAGCAAATGCAGAATGTACCTGAAATGAATTTCTGTACAGATAATAAAGTGAAATTGAATTGTACAGAATAATTGCAGAGTAAAGATTTCTTTTGCTCACTATCAACAGGTTTTGCAGTCATGCAGCATGCACAATGCCAATTTTCCTGATTAGAACATTTTTTTTTCCTGAGCATCAATGGACTTAATTCACATTTTGGAAAGCAAATGGTGCAGAATTCCAGATACATCTACCAATCTGACTTGGAAGAGATGCAAACTGCATCTCTTGAGGATGTGAGTTGTTCCACAAGTATTATTTCCTTTGACATTGAAAGGAAAGCAATCCTAATATGGCATCAAAGCTAGCTTATAACGTAGACCTCTAAGACACTTTTCTTACTTATCCAACCTCACTTTAATAATTTGAGATCATGGATTCTCTCTTCTTCATATTATGTATGTACAATAATAACAAGATTTAAAGGGTCAAACCGGCTCCGTCTCACGACAATTCTAGCCATATACATTTTTAGTAGTTGGAAGAATACTTTGTTCACACTTGTATTCAGGATGACATTCTCACAGGCAAGGTTAGTCTAAGCCTGGTAGGTACCAAACAATGTGAACATGGTTCTGCCAGGCTGCTACTCTAGCTGTAAGGGATCAATTATCTCAGTTGGCCAGATGGATGATTTTTAATGCGGAATGACACCAAGGTGTGTGTTCAATCCTAAATCAACTTAGATTACTGTGAAGGACTATCCTCTTGCCTGAGGTATGGTGACCCTCAGCTTAAACTATAACCAGTTATTTCTCTGAAATGGGAGAGCAGCCCTACAGTCTGGTAAGACTATGGCAACTTTTGCTTTTACTCAGCTGTATCTTCCAGCAGCTCTTAAATCCAGGTTTATGCACTGTATGCATTCAGTAAAGTGCTATTACAGTTTTCTTGTCAGAGTTATATATTGCTTAAAAATCGAAAAAACTTCAGATGCTGTTGATCAGGAACAAAAACAAATTGCTGGAAAAGCTCAGCAAGTCTGGCAGCATCTGTGAAGAAAAATCAAAATTAACGTTTCGGGTCCGGTGACTCTTCTTCAGATCTGCAGAGCTTTTCCAGCAACTTCTGTTTTTGTTCATATATTGCTTAGTTTTAGTGCATTTCTAGAACCAGATCTGCATTCTCCCCTTCAATCATGTTGGCACTTTGATATCAATGATGGTATGGCTACAGCAATAGTTACCAAAAAATAATTAGGATGTGCTGGTTGCCTAACATGGGCACAGAAGTAAATATGGCAACATATGACTTTAACCTTGTTCAAATTTACTTCAGAAGCATGGGGGATTCACAACCATAACGTTTTCTACACTATTTCTTTACAAGGTTTATTATTTTGTGATGTACTCTTGATGTCATGGAAGTTTTGAGTTTTCTGGATAAACTATTAAATTTGTAATTGTTGGAGTCCAAATGCTCAGTGGAAATATAAAGAAACTTCAGTGTCACATTGAATTGTAGAGATTAAAGTTTCATTAATCATTACCAACTGGATATAGTTGAGTTGTTTGATGCAGGATTTATTTATATGCAGTAGCAGTAGCAAGGATTCAGGAACGCTGGTATATATTTTTAGCAAGAATGTGGCAACAGGGCTCAGAGATATAGTGATTTGAAAGAAAATTGGACAGTACAAACCTGAAATAAAATCACAAACAGGCAGAAGTAGACTGCAGGGAGGAAAGCAACTTACAAGAAATGAGACAACCTGATGTTTCTGAGAAAATTACTTACTATTATTTAGCCAGAGCTTGAAGAAAGCCTGTTAGCTAGTGTTCATCCATCAGCCTTGGTCATTGCAGTTGTACCATCACTGATACTAGAATGGCAATATGGGTCTGGATGAAGCACAGGTGAAGGTTCCTGAAATGGACTAAAACTAAATGGTGTAAAAACCTGTTTGAGATGATGATATCGTCACTTTTCACCATGATGAACTTGACTCAAGTACACTGCAAATTAAATTTTAAAGAGTGCCAGCAAATATATTCAAACTACAGCTGGGGTTCCAACTCAGATTCTGAGGAATGCCCTTAATCTCTTTGACATCACCAAGCTAAAGGCATTATATAAATGCAAGTTGTTGTTTGCATCATTATAGTAGGATGGTAAAATGAGCAAGAGTCAATTTAAGATAGAATCAGCTAATGTGCAAATTAAATATTTATAATGCACACAATTCTAAAACTTGAGTTGCACTGTTACAAATTATGACTCATACAAGTGCACTGCTCAGAAATTTTGCTTCAATTCAAATTTACACTTCAAGGGCAACCTAAGGACTACATAAAGATTCACATACATTGAGTTAATTACCAGATAAACGCACAATCTCAGGAAAGTCTCTAAAGTAATAAGTGTCGTTGCCTAAATTGCAACTAATACACATTATATTTTTGGTTGTTATTTGCTCTGTACCAAACCTGAAAGAACGGCTAAAGCATGTGTTATTACTTACCTTTTGCTCATCTGTAGCCTTCTCAAAATCTCACAGTAACATGTTGTCTCCATTCTGAAATCATAAACTTTTAGCTCCTTTTTGCTCCGAACTCCTATCATTCAGAAAGAAAAAGCCTGAAAGTGCCCCACTTTAAAAGGAGTAAACAGCTTTGCATTCTCAACACTATTCAATTGCTTGCAGCAAGTGAATGTTTGATCAGGAAACAATCTACATGTGAGAATAAATACATTTATAAAATGGACATGAAATATTTAACGCAAGTATTAGCCCATTCTGCAGTATATCATGCACAGCAGCTTCAAATACTAATGCATGGATGTAAGGTTGTATTTCAGCTTGAAATTACTTTGAAACAGTCTCTGTGGAGAAGAAATGTACAACACACATTTACAACCAGTCAAAAGGAACCAATGATTTCCTAAGGAAAGGATACATTATGCAATTTATGTCAGTGCAAAGCCAAAAGTTATTTTGCATCAATCCTTATTATTTTGTCAAACACATTTTGCTTAGTCACAGATCTAAAACGGTTGACTTAGACTCCATCATCTAATTCCGGTTTAAAAATAGGCAACTTCCAAGCGTCTTTGAAAGTTTAAAATTCCAGTGAGTAGTTAAAAATCAATAAAAGCTATTGAATTTAGCTTTGAGATTACTATGATCAACTTCGGCAAAAGTGCACAAAGCAGAACATCCCTTTGCACATGCATTTCTGCAATCTTACAAAAGACTTTTACTGAAAAACATTCAATGTTATGGACTCAACTGCTTTCTATAGTAGAGAATTCCACAGGCTCACCACTCTCTGGTTGAAGAAATTTCTCCTCATCTCAGTTCTAAATGGTCCATCCTGTACTCAAGTCTCTGAACAGCAAAATTTTCAAGTTTCATGTTTTTTAAAAAATGTTCTGTTTTCATATTCTTGGGATTGAAATGAATAATCTTGACTTCTCGCTTCCAGCTGCCACCTTCTTGTTCATTCATTTAACCTGTCTATATCTTTTTGAATTTGCTGTGTGTCCTCCATACAACTTACATTCCATGCTAGTTTTTCATTGCTAGTAAACTTAGATACTTAATTTCCATAACTCGTAAACAGCAAAATCCTAATAAGGTAGAGCTGAAGGAATCTGTTCACAAATTTGTGTTAAGGGAGTGATAGCTGTGAAGGACTCATTCCCACATGAATGCCTTTCTATGTAACCTGATATGTCTACAAATGCGGCCTATGTCAAACCAACATATTTGAACGTTGTAGAAAACTCAGTAAAGAAATAAATGTGCAAAAATTATTCTTATTAAAACATGTTCGCATCTTACAGAGGTCTGACCTTGTAAAAAAGGCTTTGACAAATGTTGAGTTAGTTCCAGAGAAGCTTTGCAATCTCTTTCTGCTTGGGCTCTTGTCATCAGAAGAACATGATACAGTCTAACATGTCATCAGTGCAGTCAAACATGTTTTTAGTGTTTTTGTTTGTGGTGTGAAATCCTGGAGCTTTTCTAGCCTTTGTGACATGGGCAAGGGAATCAGGCTTGCAGGTGGGTGCCAGATTTTTCATTGGACCTTTCAAGGTCTTTGGCTTTCTTGGACTGCTCAGAATTCTTAGATGTAGAATGCACTGCATCTATCAGTGGTTCATCTGTTAGTTATGATGTGTAGCAGACTGCAATGTCCACTTCTGTGTAAGTTTACATGGTTGCCTCTGCTGGAATTTCCATGTTGGTGTTCCACAGCCAAGTGAAAATAGCCTCATTATTTATCAGATTGTTTAGCCTTACCTGCTGCACATCATTCCGAATTGTGATTTGCTTGAACTCAGCATGGTGGAAACAGTTGGAAATTCTGGCAAATATCACCATTTTCCATGTCATCTTCATCATGAACATGACCTTTAGAACTGCTGGATTGTGCTCCTGCTTGATACTGATGGTCTCCATAGCCTGAAGGATCATCTGCCATTGTAGTGGGTTTTCAGGTTCCTCATCTTCCCCTGATCCTTGCCTTATCCTGAAACAGTCTGGCTTCCTCTCACCGTGGGCAGTTTCCATGTGGCCCGGATTTATTGTCAGGGTGACTCCCCTTTCTGCAGAATTGGACTGGAAGTGGGATTGTGTTCTGCTTGAGCTGCTGCGAACCACATCAGCAGAACTTCTACAATGCTGGGAAATTGCTCCCACATTCATCATTTTTGAACAGAGTGCCTGCCTGCCAAACTGTTTCCCAGATATCACTACATCTCATATTTCAAAATGGTGGGCATATTCGATGGTGGGATCTCCTACTTTGTCATGCTTCCCATTTTAATACCATGGCTTTCCCTTTACTCAATCAACATCGCTTCCTCCCCAACTGTCAATTCTACTCACTCTCTCACAGGTTTAGGCAATCCTGCAGACTTTGTACATATTTTCATAGGGAGATCATGCTGCTCTCTTTCCACATGCTCCATAATTTCAATCTCTTGTGTGGTCTAATTCTGCTCCAATTGGTGGGTGCGGAGATAGGAGAACCTTAGACCAGTTCAGCTAATCTGGAGTTACCCACATGGAGTTCTGGCTTATCTTGGGCATCACTGTCTTGGATTTGCCATTCTGATGGTGGGAACAGCTGACTACTTCAACACAACTGGAATTTGATGTCATCGGAGTTTGACTGTAATTTCACTGTAGAATGTAAATAGCTGAGGCCCCACACTCATCATGGAGGCATACTATTAGTCGTAATTTGCCAAATTGAAAGTGCCACGTTTATACCCCATTTTGCATCCTATCCATATCCTCAAAAATCAGAAGAAGTGATTTTAAGAAAGGATGGAAAAGGATGCATCACAAATGCAGACAGTTTTAAAAACACACAAACTGAGAGAGAAGGAACCTATAGAGTTTGAGAAAGAATTGTGTATAAAAAGATGAAAAGAAGGAAACAAAAAATGTTATGGAAAATTTTATAGTAAGCCTGAAATTATCTAAACACAGCTAGGAAGCTGTGTTGAGCAAGGCTTGCTTATTTACATAGTTATTCAGGGCTTGCAGCATCTCCAACCCTGTGACCCTCACCACTGAGAAAAACAAGAACAGTAATATCAAGGGAACATCATCACCTTGAATAACAAATGGAATTAGTAAGTTCCAAGGAATGTGAACACAATGAAAACAACTTTTAACGAATTAATGATATGTTGACTAATACCTGTTAAAATGACAGAATTGAAGGTATTAATGACTAAACTATGACCAAATTCTTGCTCAATATGACAACACATGTAATTTTAGATCTATTGCTAAACTTTGGAATGGAAGAAGTTTTGAAGCTGGAAGGAGCCAGTTGGAGATCCGGCTTTGAGAGCCCTCCAGCCACCATAGTCTCCATGCCAATTAAGGACCTGCCTCTATCAAATCTCAATGTGGGTCTGCTTCTTTCAGGGACAGTTAGAATCATTGAATCATAAAATCAGAGCATAGAGAAGAGGCCCTTCAACCCATAAAGCCCGCACTGACAAAAAATCTGCTCTAAATCTGCACTTGGCCCATATCTTTGAATATTGTGACATTTCAAGGGCTCATCCAAGTACTTTTTTTTAAAAGGTTGTGAGGTTTCCTGCCACAATGACCCATGAGGCAGTGCATTTCAGATTCCCACCATTCTCTGGGAGAAAAATAAAATTCCTTAAGTTGCCTTTAAACCTCTTGTCTTTCATCATAAAATTATGCCCCTTGTTACTGATCCTTCGACTCAGGAGAACAGCTGCTTTCTAAAGACCCTGCCCATTCCCCTCATAACCTTATACACCTCAATCAAAACCCTTCTCTGTCATCTGTTCTCTGAAGAAAACAACCTAAGCTTACCTAGCCTCTCTTCATAGCTAAACTGCTTCATCTTGGTGAATTTCCTCTGCACCCTCTCCAGTGTAATCCTACCTCTTCATGCTGTGACAAGAACTGCACACAGCACTCCAGCTGTGGCCTAACCAAAATCCCATACAGCTTCAATATGATCTCTCTGCTCTTATAATCTATGCCACAACTGATAAAGGCAAACGTTGTGTTTGTCTTCATAACTACTCTATTAACCGTCTTCACAGATCAGTGGACAAGCCCCCCAACCTCTCTATGTTCCTCTGAGCTTCTCAGTGTCCTGCCATTGAGTGAGTACACCTTTGTCTTGTTACTACTTCAAAGGTGCACCACTTCACTTATCAGGGTTAACTTCAATCTGCCAACTGTCTATATCCTCCTGTAACCTAAGTCCTTCTTCTTCAATGTCAACCTCACGGCTAACCTTCGTGTCATCAGCAAACTTACTTGTTATCCCCATACATTTTCCTGCTACATTGTTTGTATATATCACAAACAATAAAGGGCCTAGTATGAATACTGTGGAACAACACTGGAAACTAGCCTCCAGTCACACAAATAGCCTTCTACTACCGCCCTCTGTTTCCCATCTCTAAACTAATTTTGGATCCAACATGGCAAGTTACTCTGGCAAGTTTTTACCTTTATTTTAATCAGTCTCCCATGTGGGACCTTGTCAAAGGCTTTGCTGAAATCCAAATAAACTGCATTACCCTCATCTACATATGATCAAGTTCAGGGCTCTGGAAACAGTCTTGACTCCTGTCCCTAAAAGGAAAGTCCAGGCTTTGGTATCTGTCAGTTTATTGGCTGCCCTTCATGATTAGAACATGGAATTTTTTTGTTTTCCTTAATCTTGCTACGTTAGTTTAATACAACTTTTCAGTTGCTTTTATTTAAAAAATGTTGCTTTGTAAAACCAACTCTTCACCTCAAGTTTTGCTGTTGTTGTCCATTTAAGAGAGACACTTGATCATATCCCCATGTGGTTGAGATTAAATAGCTGTTTGGTAGAACAAAACTTGAGGTACTGCCGAAAGAAAGATATGTTTGATGAATCTTTTTGTCTTTCTTGCACCATGATAATTCACAGGAATACCAATTCAAGGTGAAAATTAAAATTTCTACTGCATTATATTGAGGGTAGAGAACTCATTGGTTGGAAAGTAGATTCTGATTGGTCGAAGGACTATGATTGAGAACACACCAATTAATGATGATTGATAGTTAACTGCCAGGCTTTGTTTAAATTTTAAACAAGGCAGGTTGACAGTGCTTGGTCATAGCATTGCCTTGAGAAATGAACTTGCAC